CATTAGGCAGAGCTCCAGCAGTCCTGCGGAAGGAGGAAGGATAGAAAGACCCAGAGGGGACAAGAATGCCACAAGAAGACCAACAGAGTCAACTAACCTAGGCCCATGGAGGCTTACAGAGATGGAAGCATCAACCAAAAAGCATACATGGACTAGATTTAGGCCCCTTGCACATATGTGTGTGTGTGTGCGCGCGCGCATGAAGATCAAACCTATGGGCAGTTTGATCTTCATGTGGGTCCCCTAGTTGAGAAGGGGGATGTTTCTGACATGTACTCTGTTGCCTGCTTTTCAATCACTTCTCCCTTCCAGGGCTGCCTTGCCTGGCCTCACTGGCTGAAGATGAGCTCTGTCCTGATGGGACTTGATGTGCTTGATTTTCTGAGGAAAAGGGAAGGGGAGAGAGGGAAAAGAGGGTCAGAGGGTATGACGGGGAACAGAGGAGGGAGGGGGCTACGATTGGGATGGAAAGTGGATATATAAATTTAAAATAAAAAAGAATAAATAAAACATTTCACACACACACAAAAGCTATTTTGTAAGGCTCAGGGTGTGGCTAGTGAGAGCCTCTGGTATGTGCTAGGCCCTAGGTTCATCTCCAGCACTGTAAAATAGGTAAATATTTGAAACATTCTAGGGCGTGCATGGTAACGTAGGTCAGTAATCCCAGCACTGGAAGCCTGAGGCAGGAGGATTTCCCCTAGTTCCATCCTGGGTAACAGAGTGAATTCAGGGTCAAGCTGTGTTACACATAGAGTCAAAAAATAAGGCGGGGGTTGGGGAGAAGCTCCAAAGTTTAAATGACCATTTGTTTTGTTTTGTTTGGGCCTCATGTAGCCCAGGCTGGCCTTGAAATCGTTATGTACCAGAGGATGGTCTTGAACTCTCCCTGTCTCTGTCTTCTGAGTCAGTGGCCACCACGCCCACCAGCTTTTTGTTTTTATTTATAGGATGCTGCTGTGTGTGGAGGGTTCTGCGTAGATTTCTCATTGCTCCTTCCTGCTCCGCTTCCGTCACTGTGAGGCGCTCATCACAGCTAAGGGACAAATAGGAACACATTGTCACTACCTAAGTTCCATGTGTCCTTAGGGTCCTGTTCATTTTCCCTTGTCAGGTGGAGCCATTTTTTTAACTCTAAAATACTAAGAGTAGGGGGCCCACAGACGGCTCAGTGGGTTAAAGTGCTCACTGCCAAGTGATGACCTGAGATCAACTCCCAGGACCCACATGTGGAGGGAGAGAGCTGACTCTGACTTCTGAGTGCACACTGTGGCACACACACACACACACACACACACACACACACACACTAATGGATACATGTAAAAAGGGCGCGTGCCCACGGCAGACATCCCTGGACCACTTGATTCCCCCTAGATTCTGTCTACATCCACTGCTTCTTTGTTAGGAAGAGAAGTTAGCCAGCCTCATAGACATGTGAAAGACAGGCCGGCAAGAAGGGAGACTCCCCCTTGGGTCTGATTTATTTGCCTGAGGATAAAATGCTTCTGTCATTAGGAGACCCAGGGCTGCTGAGTGTCAGTCCACAGTACACCTTCATGTCACATGATATCAGTGTCAGCACGGACCCCGGGCTCCCCGACACTAACCACCCTGCCATCTGGTAATGCTGGGAACCCGGAGTCTTCCCTGTGCCCCCGAGGACAGAGTCGGGGCTCGCCCAGGGGAGCATGACATTTGTCTTCTACGGTGACTGCCCAGCAGGGAGGGCTGCTACTATCAGCAGACGTTTGCCCAGTGCAGAATGGGACAGCGCCCCCTGGAGGAGTCCCATGATACCACAGAACAAGCCTTGCCAGGTTCGGGACACTCTGGCAGTTAAAGGTGCCAGGGAAGGGAGGGCCGCAGGGAAACCAGCTGCCTCCAGAGCTTTCCCAGGACTTCTGAACTTGCACTCATTCCTTCAAGTGCCCCTCATGGTTTATGAGTTCGAGAAGGTGGCCTTGCTGAAACTGAGCTACTGCAAAGCACAGAACCTTGTGGTGGGGGTGGTCCCCTGGGAGGCTCAGCAGCTTGGGGTGACAAGTTGCTGTCCAGCCTGGGGGGTGAGGGAGGGTTGTCAGTCTGTGGTAGCTCAGTGCTGCCCAGGTCCCTGAATACCCTCTCCATGTGACTCCAGCTAGAGTTCACAGAGCTTCAAGGTGAAGTTTGAGCCTGGGGGGTTTTGCCTTGACTTTTTTTTTTTTTTTGAGGTTTATTTATTTTATTTTGTGTGTATGATTATTTGCCTGTGTGGATGGATGTGCACCAAGAGAAAGGATTTCAGCTTGGTTTACAGCCATTCAGGGCTTCTTTCTGGCTTAATACATTTATTTTAATCATATTTCATTTCGTAAGTGTGTTGGGGGCCATGCTACACAGTCAGGACCGTACTGGCAGGGCTCCGTGCCACACAATGTAGTCCAGCTTTTTCGGAGGCTTATTTGATTGTTTTTTTTGTTTGTTTGTTTTTGTTTTTGTTTTGTTTTGTTTTCTGAGACAGGGTTTCTCTCCATACCAGCCTTGGCTGTCCTGGAACTCTCTTTGCAGACCAGGAGCTGGCCACCTATCTCTCCCTTCCAAGTGCTAGGATTAAAGGCACGCACCACCACCACCTGGCTTGGGAGGCTCATTTGAGTCCAGGAGTTCAATGCCAGCTTGGACAACATCTAAAAACCTCAGTCTTTCCTTTGTTTTCTTTTTGAGACAGGGTCTCATGTAGCCCAGGCTGGCCTCAAACTTGCTATGTAGCTGAAGACAGACATGAACTTCTGGTCCTCCTGCTCTCAACCGCCAAGTTCTGGAATTATAGATGCCCACCGCCACACCCTGTGGGGGCTGGGGTACCATGGAACTGGGAAGAACTGTCTGGAGCAGGAGTGGGTTGAGGCATGTTCAACCCCAGAAATCTCATCTGGAGAGAGAAATAGGAGTGGGGACCACCCCCTCCCCTGCCCTAAGCCTGCATGTCCTTGCGTGCTGGCGTGCACGCGCGCACGCGCACACACACACACACACACACACACATTACCTTTGCCCACACCAGAGCAACTCAGGTGGTAGCAGCCAAGTTAAACTTCCTAATTAAATGAGCTGCTCAGCAAAGCCTGCCTCTTATCTCAGATCTCCATCATTCGGCCTTCTACTTCTTCCCCTCAGGAAGGGCCGGGGAATACGTGGCTTTTCTGTTTTATGTAGCCCAGGCTGGCCTTGAATTCCTGGTCTTTCTGCTGAGCTTCCTGAGTGCCAGGATTAGATGTGTCACCTTGCCTGGTTTATGGGAGTCAGGATTTGGTACCATAGAAGTTTGCTACTCCAGAGGCTGAGGCAGGAGAAGTTCAAGGCCTGAATTACAGAGTGAGCTTGAGATTTAGGGTGAGTCTGAGGCACCAGGTGAGATGTTATCTCCGAAGGTGAAAAGAAGACTGGGGTGCAGCTCACTGAGACGGCACACAGCTGCTGTGCCGGAGGCTCTGGGTTCAAGCCCACATATTGCAGAGGAGTGGCTGAATCAATTAAATCAAGCAATCTAAAACCCGCCATCCTGTTCCCCTTGTGTGTGTGTGTCTACATGCGTTCTATACGTCTACACACGTGCACACGTGTGAATGGAGGACAGAGGACAGGTGTCATCCACCGAGTCTCCCGTTGGTCTGGAGCCATCCACGGAGTCTCTCACTGGCTGTGTAGGCTGGGCTGGCTCCCAGCCAGATCGTACAGTATACCGAGAGTCATGGCTGATGAAGCAATGGCAAGACAAGCTCTTTCCCCACCGAGGACTTCCGCAGCCCTTCCGGAGGAAGTTCCCACTCAGGCGTGTGTCTTAGAGGCCTGTGGCTGTGGTTGCTCTCCAAGTACAGGTTTTTTTGATGTCGCTCTCATTGCTTGAGCATGTCTTACTACGTAGTCCAGGCTAGCCTCCAACTCATCACCTCCTCGCTTCAGCCTCCCGAGTGCTGGGATTATGGGCCACAGCACCCAGCTGGCTGCTGCCTGCTGTCCCAGGTGCACTGCGCCTCTATTTTACTCCACCGGCTGTCATGTACGGGATAGGTAAGGGAGTCTCCATTTCCTGTACCGACCCATTCTTACAGCGTGTGCATGTGTGTACGTGTGCGTGCGTGTATGCACGTATGTGTGTGTTCAAGCTGTTTGGGGATGCTCATTCCTGCTGTTCAAAGTTCTTTCGAAGCTGGGCATGATGGTTGGTTTGAGTCTGTCATCCTCAGCTATACAGTGAGCTAGCCTGGGCTATAGGAGACCTTGTCTCAATAAAATAAAATAAAATAAAAAGCATTAAAAAAATCGAATTGTTTGTTACCAAGCCTGACATCAGGGTCTTGGAACCCACAAAGTAGAAAGAGTTGACGCCCTCAAACGTGTCCTGGCATGTGCACTCTCCCCACAAATGAGTGAGTGCATGAATGAGTGAATGAATGAATGCAAAAGTCAATTGACAAGACAAAAAAACAAATGGATCTGCAGAAGGGGGGACCCTCCCTCTGGATCCCCACATAGCAGAGCAGGAGGTGCAGAAGAGGACCCCTGCTGGGAAACCGTGTCAGCACTGATCAGACCCTAGCAAGGAGGGAAGGGACTACGGCCTGGAAGGAGGTAAAAAGGCAGAAGTGTATGTGTGTGTGTGTGTGTGTGTGTGTGTGTGTGTGTGTGTGTGTATGTGTGTGCATGTGTGTGTGTGTGTGTATGTGTGTGTGTGAGCCCGACCCTGCCTGCGAGTGATTAGCTGCAGCCCCGCGCAGCACAGTAAACAGAAACTTTCAGGCATCCCCTCCTCTCCCTCCCAGGCCAGGCTGGCATCTGATCCCGGGTGATTAATCCGAATCTTGGGGTCCAGAAGCCTTGCACGGACTTGGAATCAGCCGAGATGGGAGTAGGAGGTGGCCTCCCGCAGCTACGGCAGGGGAGTGTCCGCTCAGCGTGACACCACAGGGCCAGCGCGGCATCCGGGGGCGCAGGGCCGGGGCTGGAGGCTTCCGGGAACCCCTGTCCCTCGGCCGGCCGCTGCACCCTGACAGCCGCCAGATAAGCTCTATCGCAGCGGCCAGAGCCGGGGGACAGCCGGATACGGGGGGCCACGGAGTGCATTCCCAGAACCAGCACCCGCGGGGACGAGCGGGCTTCGGGGAGCTCCGCCCGCTCGCGGACAGTGACAGCCAGCCGGCGCAGGGCGGCGGAGCGCGGGCCGAGAGGTCCAGACCGGCTCCAAGGTAGGAGTCGTAGGCTGTCCCCAGGAGGCCGGCGCGCGCAGGTGGCGAGAGGAGGGGCCGCTTCCGCTCACTCACCTAGGAGTCTGGGTCGGAGCAGAGGGAGCACTGCTGTGTAGCCTTGGGCACATTCCTTTCCCTCTCTGGGCCTCCGTGCGCCCCTGTCCATCTTTGAACAGAGTGGTTATCCGGAAGATCTTTAAGGGGCTCGTGCACCAAGCGGCTTGGTACAGGGACTCCTTAGGGAATCCCCGGGGCTCCCCCTTCCTGGTAGAGGGTATGACTCTCTTTTCCACTCCCCGTGTACAAAAGCTCAGAAAGGTGGAGCAACTCGTCTGAGGTCACACAGCCCCCGTCAGTGCCGTTGACAAGAACGGGATCTTCCTGACCGAGCGCTTATTCCAGGCGTGGGGTGAGGGGAGGAAGCGTGTTTGAACAGACGAGGCTGGGTTTCCATTGCTTTAGGAAGCCGCAGGGGAGGCAAGTCAGCCTCGGCTCTGCAAGCCACCCTCAGCGGCCAGGAAGGTGATGGTTGCCCTAGCTGGGCCAGTACCCATTGCCACTGCCCCGCCTGGCCCCTGGGGACTTGAGAGAAAGAGGGTTTGCGGTCGGGGTGGGAGAGAGCTGGGGGCGGGGAGCGTGGCGCATGCCTTGACTAGGTTTTGTTCCAATTTTATTTTGCCTTTTTCAACAATCTGTTTTAAATCATTCCGGGGGCCCCCGCGCGGCTCCTCTGGACAAAACAGAATTGTGAAACACACCAGCACTTTCCACACGCCTCCCCTGGGGGGAATCTCCTATTAATACCGCGGCCGGCTATTTGCATATCCGTGCCTGCAGCGGGCGGCTGGCAGTGGGTTGCAGACAGTTAGCTGGGGCGCTAGGAAGGAGGCTCAGGACATTCCAGGGCTAGAAAGTCCCGGCAGGCAGCAGGGCAGCAGGTGGGAAGCCCCCAGGGCCAGGCTCCCAGCCAGAGGTGAAGGTCTCAACACCCAGATGTGGCCGGTTTTGCTTCCTCTGGAATGTTCCACTGGGCAGCAGCCCCGCGCTGGACCTACGCCCCTGCACTGAGGGTGAATGGAGACTTGAGCTTTGGTCCCAGAAACCTCCTCAGTCCTAGGGAACGTGTTTTGTTTTTGTTTTTGTTTTTGTTTTTGTTTTGTTTTTCTTTGTGACTTGAACAAACGGCTTCTCTGAGCCTCGGTTTCCTCATCTGCAGGGTAAAGGGTTTATTTGAGGAAATCTTTTAACGTTCTGTTGTCTGGTTCTGGGACTCCAGGCAGGAGCATTCCCAGGGAGGCGGATACCTTGGGTCAGGACAAGGTGCGTGCATGCGTGCGTGCAAGCGTGCCTGTGTGCGTGTGCATGTGTGTAGGTGGGGGCGGGGCCTGGAGAGCACTTCCAGTCCAGAGGTGTCTGTGAGTGAGGATGTGTAGTTTGGAGGAACACCTCCATGGCGTTGGGGACGGGGTTCCAGGAACGCAGGTGGGCGTGGGCAGGCGGCTGCTAGCCCATCAGCAGCATGGCTGGCCTGGGCCCCCAGAGCCCAACAGCGGGTTGACATGGTGGGCCTTGCTGCCTGGGCTCCTGCCGAGATTTCAGCCATAGGTGCTGGTCTCCGGGCCTCTGCCACATGTGGGTCCCTGAGACCGGAGCGTCACTGAGAAAGCCCACTATGCCAGTCTTAGGAACTAGGCGAATTGCTAACACCAGACTTATGCAAAGTCACAGTAAGTTCTGTTTAAACTAGGTAAGGAGTACCCAGAGTTCATCGCTTTCCCTTTTCACTTGTGATGCTGGGGACTGTGGTTGGCAAGTGCCCCGATGCCGGGCTGCCTCTCCAGCTCCTGGTGTTTTGAGATAGCCTTACTGTGTAGTCTAGAACAGCCTCAGACTCAGAACCCCTCAGCTTCTGGCTACTGACTGCTGGGATGCAGGCAGGTGCGGTGCAGGGGAGGGACCCACGGCGTTGTGCGTGTTGACCAAGCACTCTGCCGACTAAGTTACATCCTCAGCCCCCGTTTTCTTTCCTTCTTTTTAATTTTACGTATGTAAGTGTTTTGCCTGTAGCTGTGTTACATACAGCACATGCATGCTTGGTGTCCTTAGAGGCCAGAAGAGGGCACTGGGTCCCCTGGAACTGGAGTTACAGACGGCCTCCAGCAGTTGCTGGGAATTGAACCCAGGTCCTCTAGAGGAGCAGCCAGTGCTCTTGACCACAGCACCATCTCTTTGGCTCCCCAGCCCCCATGTTTGAAACCATTTTCTTTGTGTTAGGAACAAACCCAGGGCTTCAGTCGTGCTAGGCGTGTGGTCTACCATGGAGCTATGTCCTGGCCCCTTCACGACTCACTGTGCCATTTCCTCTATGTCCTGTCACATCTGAATGGCAGGAATGCTGAAGGGTAGCAGGTCACTGCACAGTCCTTCCCAATTCTGTGTTCAGCGCTTTCATCCCGGAGATTTGAAGCTGGCTTTGGTGGGAAGATGCCAAGAGGCCCAACCCAGGGTTTGTTTTGTTGCTCTGCCTATTGCTGGGTTTGAGAAAGTGGTGGATGTTAACGGCTCCCCTCAGAAATCAGGTTTTGCCTCTGCCTTCTCCATGGCAGTTGTACAGGAACGGGGATGCCTACTTCTCGGTGACCCAGTGAATTCCCACTCGCTGCTAGCTCACTCCCTGAGGTAAAGAGTCTGCCCACCAGTGTTCCCGAAAGGGCCACCCTCCTCCACCCACTATCAGGTGCAGGAGCCAGGATAAAACTTGTCAAAAAACATTCCATGCAAATGAACTGATTGTTTGACACCTTCAGAAGAATAGTATGTGATGCCCCTGTCTCCACCTCTGCCTCCTGAGGGCCAGACAGGAAAACACGCCACCACGCCTGGCTATGGAAATTTTGTGTATTATTCTTTTATCAAACAATTTATTTTTGGACACAGAGCTTCTCTGTGTTACAGCCTCAGCTGTCCTGGAACTCGATGTGTTTGACCAGGTTGGCCTCGAACTCACAGAGATCCTCCTGCCTCTGCCTCCTGAGTGCTGGGATTAAAGGTGTGTTCCACCATGCCCTGCTACTCAATAAGCATTTCTTTGTACTGTGTGTCTCTGCATGCTTTGCCTGCCTGCACGCCTGTGTGCCGGCATGTTTGCAGTGCTCAAGGAGGCCAGAAGAGGCATTTCAGGGCTTGAGTCCCTGGAACTGGAGTTACAGATGGATGTGAGCCACGTTGTGGGTTCTGGGAACTGGAGCCCGGTCCGCTGCAAGAGCAGCCCATGTTCTTAACCACGGAGCGTCGCTGCAGCCCCTGTGAATTTTACTTTTATTACTAACGTGTGTGTATGATGTACAGTCTCCCCAGCCGCACGTTGCTGTGTGTGCACGCGCACACGTTTGTGGGTTTGTATAAACACGGAGCCCCGGAGCTGGTTGGTGCACACCGCTGTCCAGGGGCTCAGAGATCTTGTCATAGACAGGCTTCACCTTCCCTGAGTTTCAGATCCAAGCCGCCCGTTCCCTTCTTTCATGGAAGAAGGGCCGGCGAGCAGACCTGACCTCTCTGGGACCAGCCCTGGGTGGAGAGCAGGGGGAAAATCTAACCCAGGAGGGACAGCCAGGCCCCTGCTCAGCCAGGGCCATCAGGGCGGTTCACTGCACCCTCGTTCCTTGCATCCAGGCTCCTGGGCCCGTGGCTCCTGCATCTTCAGTCCTGCGGTCTCTGTATCCAAGGAGCATTTCATCCGTAGGTCCCATCGGCGGCAGCTTCTGGTTAATTCCATCCCATTTCAGACCTTGATCCTGCCAGCCTCTATTTTCCCGTGCAGAGAATGACGGTGCTAATAGAAACAATGTCTTGGAACAATTCAAAGGAACAGCTAAGCCAGCCCTATAGAGGACGAGTTAAGACAGCGCTCTATTTTTAGAAGTCCTGGGAGCCAGGTGGGCCCTTTCCAGACGCCTTGGAGCGGCCAGCGCAAGGAAAATCTTTCTCCTGCCCAAGTCCCGCCTCTCCTCCTTCCCGGCCAAGGAGGAGGCCCAGGTGGAGGCTATAACGGAACTGTGTGGCTGCCATAGAGGAAGGGGGCCAGGCCCTGTGCGACTTGAAAAGGATGAAGAGTGTGTGCATGTTTTATTGTATGGTGTGGTAGAAAGTGTGCAAGAGGGGGTGTGTGTGACTGTCTAGGCAAGGGGACATCCCAGGCGTCTGTGTGACTCTCCACCAAAACCTCAGCCCTGACTTTTAATCTTAGGACTCCTGTGAAGTCAGGTGTCTCTGTTTCAGACCCCGGTCTCTGCATGCATGCCCACCCGTCCTCCCCCTCTTCCTCCCGTCTCCTTCTCTCCCTCCTTTCTTTTGGAAAGAACTCTGCAACGGTAGGTTGGGTGGGCCGTAGCTCTGGGGCACAGCACTTGCCTAGCCTGTGTGGGCTCTGGATTCCAGAGTCCCAGCACCGAATGCTCGACTGCACGCATGAGCACACCCAGACATCGGTCCACCCCTGTTACTCCACACCTCTTCCTTTCACTTGGCCGTGCCTCCTGGATGGTTTTCACATCAAGATTTGAACATTCCGGCCTGGCGAGATGGCTCGGTGGGTAAAGGGGCTCACTGCCAGGTCCCACAAGGCAAAGGAAGAGAACTGACCTCCACTAGTGGGCCTGTGATGGCCGCACATCCACTTTTGGGTACATGAGAGCACCCTTCATCACACACACACACACACACACACACACACACACACACACACACACGCATACACATGCACACAGTGCCACTTGTCTGCCGCCCAAGCTAGGTTTACAGGGGTCAAACACTTTGACCAACACTTTCTAACCAGGCCCCAAACTCTCTGGGCTACGCTTGTGCAAAGCCCAGCAGCCTCTACTTTGCAGTAAGAAAAGGAACTTCGTTGGCACTGCCCTCAGCAGGGCTCTAGAAGTCCATGGCTTCTGAGCACATCCACCGTCCCTCCCTGCCCAGGCAGCCAGCCTTCGCTCAGCCAT